GTTTTTTTTTTTTTTTTTTTTTTGAACAAATTAAGAAACTTAAAAATGAAGATCAAAAGCCATTCGAAATACATAATTAATACTCATCTTAAACTTGTTCTCAATATTTCACCCAAAAATGGCAATGAAATAGCAAGACAGGATCAGAGAAAGAAGAACTCACAGTGATGACAACCCCACCGCCAGGTTTCTGGCCTAAAGTGAGCCCCAATGGCTTATCAACTTCAACCTCAATCGTCTTGGAAGCACCAGCCGTTTTAGCCGCCTTAATTTCAAGCCCCTTCCATGTCTTCCCTCTGGGCGCTCCATTCTCAGCCACGAACCAATGCGAGACCCCCTTCTTGGCCTCCTGTACGGACACCCCTTGGAAAGCACTTTTCTGAAGAACACCAACAAAAACAGTCAATCAAAAGGCAGAGCGATGAATTGGGATTTGAGGTTATGATATACCTGAAGAGACAGAGATGGGTTGGGAGCTGGAAAGGGTGGGGCTCCGATGGAGGTTCTGGCGAAGGCGGCGGAGGAGCCTGCGACTATGGCCGATGACATTTTTGTGGAGATGGGGAGATTGGTGGGTGGCGTGGTAATTGAAATGGTTTGTGGGTAAGGCCTAAGGGAGTGTGGTGGACTTGGACATACGCAGAGCCACACGCCTGTTTGTGATGCTGTCCACTAATTGCGATGCTACTCATTTTGAACCTTTTGGGGGTTTGTTTGTAATCTAGGCGCCGGAGCAATGCTGTCCACACGCCTATAGACTGCTTTAGGGGTATACAACTTAGGCGTTAGAATATCGAGATAACAACTCGAGTGAGTGTCGTTAGACCGAGTGTACCATGTTTTAGTGTAAAAATCAATCCTTTACGAGTTTTTTGTAACTCGCTGTCACAAGCTGATTTGATTGAATTGAAACTTTTAAATATCAGCTTATCCATTTTAACTCGTTACATATTGTTGTCAGCGTTACAAATGGTATCAGAGTTAGATATCAGGTAGTGTGACAGTGAGGACACTAGGACCCCAAGAAGGATGAATTGTGAGATCCTACATCGGTTGGAGAGGGGAACGAAACGTTCCTTGTGTGGAAACCTCTTCATATCAAACCCGTTTTAAAAAACTGTGAGGCTGACAGCGATGACTAAAGTAGACAATATTTACTAGTAATAGCCTTAGGCGGTTATAAATAAAAATTATTAGAACTTGAAGAAAGCTTGAGTTTGATGTCTCGAAAAAACATTTATTTTCAAAGTTGAATGAATCCCAACATGATACCTTTTGAAAGACATTACGGCTGGATGTGGAGTGACCCAAAATATATAGGTCACTCCAATAAGACAAAACCTTACTAATCTTTAGTTACTCCACATGTGACCAAATTACAAAGTATTGGTCCCAACAAGTTCAAACCATTGAGACCGAGTATCATCTAAGCAATTTGAATCATCACCAACACAAAGACATCTACCCATCACAATCCTCGTTGAATTCGAGCTCTCTTTCTCTAAACACAAACCATTCCCTTGTCTCGTGAACGTAGCCAAATGAAGCTTAGAGTTAGAAATGGTTGTCCAAGCACTTTCGTCGCCCGAACAGTCTCTCGAGAGTAAGGGTCGAAGCCCATCTCTATCGGCTTTTAAACACAAACTGGTCGCCTCTAGCTCAATTGGCGTCCCGTCTCCTCGATGACTCCAATGGCTTGCATTGGAACAGTCGTTTAGATAGATGTCCTTGCTCATCATGTCCTTCACTCGAACACATTGACCACTTTGTGGATGATACATAACATAAGAGTTTGGTGCATTTGAATTCGGATCTTTGTTCATAAAAATTCCCAAAAGAAGAAAAAAAGTTAACCTATAAATTAAAACAAGATTCAAAAGCAAGTTAATTCAACAAATCCGTACCTCGCAACATGGTTTGCAAGAGCTGAAACGTCTTAGAAAAATGAGGGTTTCTAACGTCACTCCAATTATAATTCAAAACTCCGAACACTTCGTCGGATTGAGCCTGACCCTGTCGATAATAATAGCTACCTTGCCAAGCCCATAGCGCCCAATCCAAATCTGTCCTAGCAAGATGAGCAACGAAGCAGCTCGAGAACCTATCATCAGCAACATTGGTACCCCTTTGATCAAACCCAAACTCACTAACAAACAAAGGAACTGCCTCAGCTCCTTGCATTACAAACTCAGCTCTCTCCACAAACCCATTGATGATTGCTGAGCATATTTTGTTTAGTGGGTTCGTGATGAACTTTGTTTTCGTAGCTCCGCTAAACGAATATAAGTGCACTTCAAAAACGAGCTTGTTGTGTAGGTTGTTTAGTGGCAACGGGTTATGTCTTTGACATCTTAGGTCGTTGTCGAAGTTTAGACCTGAAACGATTACGAGGAGGTTTGGATTTATGTCATGGATGGTTGTTGCTCCTTGTGTCATGTACTTGTTCCAATCTTTCGAGCTCGATTTTGCTCCTCGAAGTTCGTTTCGTAGACTCATGGCTACTACCTGTTGTTAATTAACAATGTACTTTTATTTGTTTTATACTTCATAAAATAATTTCAAAAGTTCAAAAGTTACGTACATTCAATTTGTTAGTAAATCGTCGAGCAACCAAACGAAGACCTTCCAACCATTCTTGAGGGTCGAAATAGCGATCTCCAAAGAAACCATTTCCGTCGTTAAGAGAGCAACACCATCTCGGCTGACTAATATGATTATCTGCTATCACCATCAACCCACTTGTCCCAAGCACATCGACAACAGCTTCATAAGCGTCAAAAATGGTCATATTCAATATAAACGGATTATGCGAAGCCAACCCAGCTTTCGAAGCTCTCAAATCAAGAAGGTCAAAATTCTCTTCAACAGTCCTATTAGCATAGCGAGTAAACATATGAGTCGCATACGTGAGTCTCACACAATTGAACTTCAAATTCACTAACTCATCAGCCAAGTCTTTCAACGGCCTATGAGCGAGGCCTTCGATTAGCATGCTCTGTGTGTGGGAAGGCCAATTAACGCACACGAGTTTGACTCGACGCCCAGTGGCCGAATCGACGATCCATCGCCCTCGGGTCGAGAGAGGTAAAGAATTAGAAAGGGATGAAAAGAGAGAGATGAAAGCCAAAAGCATAAAGGTTTGAGTAGGGCTTCCCATTGGTTTGTATGAAGGAGAAGGGGGTGTTGTAAGGCATTCTTTATAGTGTTTTGAAGGGAGAAGTTAATGTGGTGGTTGTTGGCCAACTTTGTCCTGGCCGGAATTTAAGAACTTGGCAGGCTCTTTATGCATTGAGGACCATAAATAGTCATTCACTTGCCTTGATTTGCCCTTTTTAAATGAACATACTTTCCTTAAGGGCTCATCAGAATGTGAGGTCATTTTGCCATCATCCCCGTTCGTGTTTTAGAGTTATTGTCTACTTTGGTTTATTGCATCATTGCTTGCTCGTATTTTAGATTCATTGTCCGCTTTCGCCGGTTACATATCTCTATTAGCCTCATGTTTTAAAAGTTGTTTCTTAGGGAGAGGTTTCCACCCCCTTTATAATAATGAACGTGCGAGATCTCACAATCCAACCTCATGGGCCTAACGTACTCCGTCCGGTGTCCACACCTTTGTAAAAAATGTATAATTTTGTTGCCCACTTCAACTAGTGTGGGATCTCACAATCTATCCTATTAGAGGCCCAATGTTCTCTGGTGAGCTAATTGGTGAGGCAATAGCTTACCAAGGCGATGACCAGTAGCTAGTCTGAGTGGATGATCAGTCACATTGGGATTGAGACAGGGCCTAGACTCTACGGGAGGCAATAGTGGGGAATTTTCCGCAATGGACGAAAGCTTGATGGAGCAATGTCGTGTGGAGGTAGAAGGTCTACGAATTGTGAACTTCTTTTCCCAGAGAAGAAGCAATGACGGTATCTAGCAGTCCGGTGTCCACATCCTTATAATGAATATATAATTTTGTTACCCTCTCCAATGCGAGATCTCACAATCCACTTCTTAGGGGGCCAAAGTCTTAAATGATACACCACCTAGCGTCTCTAGCTCTAATACAATTTATAACGACTCAAGCTTGCCGCTAGCAGATATTATCCGTTTTAACTCGTTATGCATCGTCCTCAACTTTACAGTTTTAAAACACGTTTGTTAGGAAAGATTTCCACACCCTCTCCAACAAATGTGGGATCTCACAAAATCACACACATTCGAACGATTCTTCTATAGTTCTTCTTCAAATCTCTCAACCGAACATTTTTCCTCATTCAATTTTGAGTTCATTTTCAAGAGAAAACGCCATTATACTCGAAGAACGTCACTTTATATATTTTAAAAGTCTATCTTATCTTCGAAACTATGGGTATATTTTTTTAATTTTGGCCCATTTTTTCCCGAAAAACATGTTTATTTATAACAGAATGACATTAATATATAATATGGAAGGTAAAGAACGTTGTCTAAAAATTTCCTTAATAATAAATTTTATTTGAAAACAAATATGACTTATTTACAATAGGGACCTTCAAGCTATAGTTAGGTTCATTAGTTTTTGTTTTGAAAAACAATAAACAAATAAATCATTTACCATAATTTCATTTTAAAAAATATATAAATATAGATTTTCACTCTATTTTTTTAATTATTGCTATCGGATAAAATAAATGAAAATAACACGATAAATTAGTAAAATTACATTTTAAAACTTTTTTAAACTTCAATAATATTCTAGAATTTATAGAAAATAAAAATAGTTAATATTTTGTTTTTAAAATATGGTTTAAAATTTTAAAAATACATTTACGGTCGTACAATATTTTAAAAATACTCGGGAACTTTTAAAAATAACGTTAAAAAGTTTAGAAATAATATATGAGATGCTGATAAACAACTTTTATCTATATATTGACCGTATACATTTTTTAAAATTTTTTTTATAAAGATAAAAGATGTTAATGGGACTTTTAAAATTTTATGGATATTTTTTAATAAAATTTCGAGGTATATTTTTATTAATTAATAAAATAATATTTTTAAATAATTAAAATTATAAATTGAAATATATTTTATAATCAATCAAAACCCATTTTATTAATACAAATAAGATGAAAAAGATTTCAATCTACAACACTTAAAACACCGAGATTCAAATTTAATCACTCGAACACGATTCAACTTAATAAAGAAATCAAAACTTATTCACTATATTCTTTTAGTGGCTCGTATTCTTACAATCATATCACTGTTTTCCAGGACTATAATTTCCTCCGTATGCTAAATCTCGTCGCATAATTCGTCCCAACGTAATTGGCTTCGTCTCGAGGGTGTTCATATTTCCTGAAAAAGCTCGGATCTTATAAACTCTTCATCGATTGTGGTCGGAAAAAAAAAAACAAAAAAAAAAAAGGAAAAATACCATTTGGAATGAAGAACCTTGCTGCCCCATAGGATGAAAGGAAAAGCAGAAGATATAAGACGATTACCAGAGGTATCAAATGCTTCTTATTGGAACCCATTTTGTGTATCTGTTGTGATCTTTAGTGGGTATTTATATGTGAACCATGGTTGGTTGTTAAGTGTATCTTTCAAATAAATAACGATGAATTTCCAAACTTATAATAAACGTATGATGGTCAATTACTTCG